GCCCTTTTCAGGGCCCCATAAAGGCAACCGAAACATATTTGTATATATTGTACATAATGAGAAAATATACAAAGTAGAAAAATCAATAGGATTCGTCATTGGCGGAACCCTCTCTATACGAACCACCTCTCCTGTGCGGCACCTAGCGCTACTAGATATAAGTACACGCAACATAAGAATAAGCGCTACAGCAGATTGCCTTCTCTAGATCTCGCGGAAGCGTTGGTCATTAAACAAACTAAACAATTATTGATATAGTTTTTGATTCTCTTTCTACATAAAGGAAACCAATAATGAGCTGTGAGGCCTTGTACTGTTTTTTTCGTATCCGCAATGGGCCATATCATCATAATAATAACATATGATATTATGGATCATTTAGTCTGGGACTACAAATCTAAGAGTATGAATATCTTTTCTGTAAACTAGGCCATCGAACATTTCAAATTTTTCATGTTCTTCTTTTGACAAATTTTCCGCTATGAGTTTTAGTTTAAGGTCTTGTAATTGACAAAACTGTAGTTATTTTTCAATTGGCATGGCATTGACATACGCAACGACTCTGCTAAGGGCGTCGACATGAGCCATGCGTTGCTCATCTCGATGCTTCACTTTGAATGTATAATCTTGGAATTTCAGTGTCAATCTAGCAATTCTAAGATTTAAATTTACTTTATTCATTACGTATACTAATGCATGGCAATCTGTAACAACAGTAAAGTTAATACCATATAGATAGACATGAAATATTTCTATTGATCTTAATACTGCTAACATTTCTAATTCAAACAAGTGATAATTTTTTTCGATTACGTTTGTAGATTGACTAAAATATGAGACTAGAGCCCAAAGATCATATATTTGCTTTTGTAGAAGAATGCCTGCAATGGCTACTGCACTGGCATTTATGTGTAACTCAGTTTCTAATATAGGATTGTAAAGACGTAAGACCGGGAAAGCGGTTAATTCTTTTTAAGTGACTGAAATGCCGAAAGACAAGTGTTATCAAAAACTGTTGCGGATTGCGCTGATAATATAATTTTGATCAGGAATAGAAGGGAAGAGGGGATTGACTGTTAACAGCGGAGATATCGTTTATAAACACTTTATTCGGCTTTTCACGGATAACTTAAGTTCACATGTAATAATTAAGCATACTCGACGAACGGTGGAAAATAAATTCAACGAGAACGTACGGACATCTTGCACTTGATCGGACTTGCTGCGCGCGTACGCGACGGAAATCTTGGGCAGAACTATGCTGTAGTTCCGAACGCGATGGAAATCTTCTCGCGACAATGTTAACGAAAGATCGCAGCGATCAAGAACCGAACGCGGATGCGCGACGCACCGTTCGCGAGATCGAGGTCTTAGAGAGTCTCCGAAACGCTGTAATGTCGGAGCACGTGGTGATACGTGCGGTCGCAATTGCAGCCGAAATATGCGTGTAGTTTACAAAAATGAACGGAACTGACTGAAAATATTGCGGGTACAATATTATACAAATCTTGCCGATGTCCGGCGGAAAGAAATCACTTTCGTAGCTCGACGGATTATTTTAACAACGCGGAATACGATTTTTCAGTAACTAGATGACGTGTTAATACATCAAGAGCCGGAACAAGAAGAAGGAACGGAAGAAGTAGAAGAATATTAGCGACTCAGATAGGCAGAAAACGGGGGTGCGCGACAGATCATAATCGATACACCGCGCACTCGAGTTGGCGAAAAAGAACCGCGAATGCGAATTACATCGAGGCGTGATAAGGATCGGCTACGCGCGATGCCTCGTTCGCGTGGAAATTTGTGATTTGCTAATGCGACGATTGATGGTTCTCAATATGTCCGATCGCGCGACATTCAACGTTTCGCGGAGACTCTCAAGTATAATCAACGGTTCCGGAACAAAAACAAATTTTGAGTTTTTCCTTAATAGGTTTTGCAAAGGTTTTGCTTTAATTGAATAATTCTTTATAAATCTACGAAAATAGCTAATCCTAAAATAGAATTCTAAAACTTTTTTAGGGACTAGAAAACTGGTGATTGCTTGCGTGTGTCTCTGACTTAACGTGATTCCTGACGGAGACAAAATATATCCAAGATATTCAATGGTTGTCTTGAGGAAAGAGCATTTTTAAAATTTATTTTAAAGTCGTGACGTTTGAGTAGCAATAAAATTTGTTTTAAAATATCTAGATTGGAACTAATAGTATGAGTAGGTATTAATATGCCGTCTATGTAGACGATTACTTTATCCTCCTTAATCAAGGGTTATAAAATCATTAACAATCTTTTCTGGAACTCCGTTGGAGCTTCACAATATCCTAAAGGAAGTCTATTATATTCGTATTGGCCATCTGGAGTCGCAAACGCAAAATATTTAGTGTGATCGGGATGTATTTTGATATTATAGAAACCGTCTTTTAAATCTAACAATGTAAAAACAGATTTATTTGAGATTTTAGTTAAGCAATCTTCGATTATGGAGAACGGATATTTTTGTTTTGACACTCTTTCGTTCAACGGTCTTAAGTCGACGCAAAGGCGTATATCCCCATTCCTCTTTCTGATTGGAACGATTCTTGCACAATATTTTGAAGTACTTTCTTTAATAATACCTCTTTGTAGCAGGTCATACACAATTTCTTTTATTTTTACTTTTCCTGGCCAACCAAAACGTCTTGGGCTATATCTGTATGTAGAGTCTTTTTAATTTAACTTTTACAAAATAATCCTCGCCGGCTAGGGCTACTTTTGCGAATTACATCGAGGCGTGATAAGGATCGGCTACGCGCGATGCCTCGTCGCGTGGAAATTTGTGATTTGCTAATGCGACGATTGATGGTTCTCTTTTGTATTTTTACTTCCAAAATAGTTGATATCAATTACTTTTTAATGTTTTCATCGAAATCAATATCTATATTTGTTAATACTTCTTTCAAATTATTTGAATTCTCCTCTAGAATGTCAGCTAAAGTTGCCTCAGAAAATAATTTTATTCTTTCGTCCTTTTCTTCTTTTGTACAGTTAAAGAGACAGGAAATTTTATTATTTAAAAGGAAGTCTCGTCCTAGAATTATCTGAGTGGAAAATGAGTTATTTTTCAAAATGTGAAATGTTACTTCTGCACTAATTTGAGGAGAAGAATCTACAATAATTGAGGTTGAAATTGTTCCTATGATTTCAAGAAGCCTGCTATTTAGAGCTTTATATTCTTTTATATTTGATTCTATTTGACAATTTATATCAAAAATTTTGTCTAAAGTATCTGAACAAATAAAAGAAATTGGGCTGCCTGTATCTAACAATGCAACTAGTGAAGTTTTACATCCGTTAATGGATACTACACTAATTACAGAATTATTGGTTGATATTAATCTACTTGTATCGGAAGAAACCAGAACAACTGTATTGTCCATTCACAATAGAAAGAGAGGATAACCGTAGCATAAGTTTTTTAGATATCTCACTCAAAATTATAAATAACATAATATACATAGATTGGTTTCAGAAAAAAACATTTTCGGGCAGAACACTCTCATATCATTCAAATCATCCTATATGCCACAAAAAAAGTGTAATATATAATTTAGTAGACCGGTCAATATTATTATCACATCCCCGTTTTCATAGTAAAAATTTAACATTAATCATAGAGATTTTATTGAGCAATAGTTATCCTCTTGATCTCATTTTCTCAGAAATCAATAATAGACTGAAGTTCCTTATTGTTAATAGATTAAACAAAGAAATGACTCAAGATATAAATAACGAAATCATAAATAATGACAATAATAAAAATTCATAGCGATACCTTATATTGAAAGAATCTCGGAACTAGTAGCATCAGAATTAAAGAAATCAAATATAACAGTAGGATACAGATGTCTAAAGAAATTAAACAGAGTCATAAAAACGCAAAAAGACAGAGATAAGCTCCAAAATAATTCGGGGGTCATATATAAGATTTCGTGTAATAATTGTGATGCTACATATGTAGGACAGACGAAAAGACAATTAGGTACAAGAGTAAATGAACATAAAAATAATATTAGATTAGATTCAGCAAGGCACTCGGTGGTTTCTGATCATATTGTAAAATTTACACACAATTTCAATTGGAACGACACAAAAATCCTAGATTATGAAAAGAATTATTATAAAAGGTTGATATCAGAAATGATATATATTAAAGAAGAAAACAACAGTATCAACCTAAAAAAGGACACCGAGCGTCTTGACGGTTCTTATTATGATATTCTAAAAAAATTGTCTACGTCATCTTAAAAATTGGGTATATATACAGCGCGCCGACATTGTAAGATACAGATATCGATTTGTTTTTTAAAAAAGTACACATTGTGATTATGTTAAGTAAAAAGAAATAATTTTTTAACAAAGGTGTTATGTTCGTTGACAAAAAAGTAAGTTAATACTATTTATTAAAAATCTAAATGTATTGTAATATTTGAGCGGATATATTAATTTGTTCACAGTGTCGTTACATAATATAACAGCATCTGACGCTCTAACTCATGCCAACAATCATGAATTTTGTACTGCGTTCGTCATATAATCTTATAATTGGTGTATTTATTTATGATGTCGAAATGACTAAATTAATTTTTTAACATATTATTAGGATATTGAGAAAGACTGTCGTACAGTCGAAACGTTTATCGTAACTTTTGTATAGTATGACGTAAATTAATAAATAAAAAAAAATTTTTCAATTATTAGCATATAAGCTCGTTAAGTTGGCCTTTTATTATATCACATATTTGTATTGTCCATACTTGACTCAGTCTCCTTTACTGCAGACACTGTTGCCACTGGGGGTTGACCAGGTTGTACGTTCTTTTCAGCATCCTTCCTTTTGAGCTTATAACAGTCCTCTTTTATGTGATTTCTCCTATGGCAGAATAAACATTATTTATCTCTGTCCGGCTTGGAACGTTAGTCCTCCTTGACATCTGATCTTGCTGATTGTTATTATCAACTTTAGTTTTGTCAAACTTATTTTTAGTCTTAGGTGACTTATTGATTGGATCACCACTCGCTGAGGCTGTATGCTGCATTTCTCTTAAAAAGTGATTAAGAGATCTTGTTCTTAATGATGCTGCTGTAGCTCGCAATGCGAAGCTTCCTATTCCTTGGATTAAGAATTGAATGGCATCTTCGTCTGAAAGTTTGAGGGGTGCCAACTTATCCATGGAATATTCCTGGAAATTTTCCTTGGAAAATATCCACTTCCTGGCACTCACTTTTTGTAAAACCTCGTTAAAGAGTACTTTTCTTCTAAAGCGATCAACAATTTCTTTTTTGAAGGTGAACCATAATCTATTTATGGGACCTGTACTTAGATTAAACCATCTTTTTACAAATTTTGTTAGTTTGAAAGCAGCCGCTGTTAGCATTACTACATTTGAAAGATTGTGTAGTTCTGCTATTGTTTCGCGATCTTTTCAATCCAAAGTTCAATGTCCTCTTCTTCGGTACCTCCAAAAGATGGTATTTGTGAATTTAGGAATTTTATTGCATTGCCTGTCGCAGCAGAAAATTTATCATGATGTTCTGTATCCCTTGGTATTGTTACTGGTGACGCACACTGTGAATGAAGTTGAAGCAGGTCTGTTTCACCAAATTGCTGAATATTGCAGGGTGCTGCACATTGCACAGTTTGGAGGTTCTGCACAGGTGTGGCTACTAATGGGTCCAGATGTGCTCGCTCCTGCGATGACTTTTGTGTCAAGGACAGTAACTTCACCAATAGTTCAATCATTTCCTGTTGTTTTTCCATTGATTGTTTTGTTACACAGAATTGAGGAAGATATTCCATGTTAGGCATCTGAAATTGATTCGTTGCATTATTTTGTATAATATTTTCATCTGATACCTGTGCTGATAAGGATAGAAATTGCGCTTTATCCCCTGCTTCTTGATATTGAGAGTTGCATGCGTCATTTAATGGACCATTTGTCTTTAAGCAATCCAGTATGGCTTGGACACATGCTGCTTTTGTTTTCGGTATAACTGGTAATTTGTAATGTCGACATTCTTACTGTAACTGTGACAAAGTGAGAGTATTTAGCTCTGTTTGGTGTAATGATATCTGATTGTTGTCCGTTTTGTCAGAAGACATTTTGACAGTTGTATTATCTTAATACGTCGAAAAATTTCTGCTTTGCGAATATTCCTTGCGATGCTGTAATGCTTTCGCTGGATACGCGGGAAAAACTTACTGAGAGACGTAACTTGCTGTGTGACGCTGAAGAATAGCTGCCTCGCGAATATTTCTTGCGATGCTCGTAATGCTCTCGCCGGATACGCGGGAAAACTTGCTGAGAGACTTCGAAGAATGGATGCCTCACGAATATTCCTTGCGATGCCTGTGATGCTCTCGCCGGATACACGGGTTGCACTTTTGTAATGTCACTTCTTTTCTTCTTAAAAAAACCCGACCAGGGAAACAAAGGATCCCACTTCTGAGGCTGTAAAATATCTTCTGGAGGTTAGCTCAGGAGAAGACTTAGAGGAAAGAGGATGAAGGCTTAGTTCAGATGGCTTAGTTCTATTGTTCGTTTGCTGGTGGTTAATATATATATATATATATATATATATATAAAATGTATGTTTTATATAATTTAAAAGTTGTATTAAAATACTTAATATATATATATAATATATAGTATAAATCTAATATATATATATAGAGATATATAGATATATATATATTAGATTTATACTATATATTATATATAGAGATATATAGAGATTTTTGTACTATATATATATATATATATATACATATATATATACATATAGATATACATATATAGACATATATATATATACATATATATACATATATATATACATATATATATACATATATATATACATATATATATATACATATAGTATAACATTAAGTATTTTAATACAACTTTTTAATTATATAAAACATACATTTGGATAATGCAAGTGTAAAGTGATTATTTTCACTTTCTTCCCCTTCTATTGTCTGCTATGCGTCTCCCCTCTGTACTCCTCCCCACTCTCTAAGGTGTGCGAGGAAGAGAGCACGACTTTCGGACTATCTCTGTCCTTTAGTTCGTGCTTCAGCTGGCCCCTAAGAACGCGCAATCTATTATTATTATATATATCTATAGGTCTGTTCTTTTTGGCTGAACTCGTTGCACTAGTTCAGGAAGTGTGCACTGAAGCGTTCTTTTCGACACCGGTGCTCGGTAGTGACACCCTTAGAACATATAGATATGGAAGGGGAATAGGAGCGCAAAACTGTGTCCAAGTTGGGTGCGAGAGAGAACCACGTTTTTAAGGAAAGAGAAGAGTAGATTGTTACTTCCGTTCGCAATGCGCAAACACGAATTAGCGAAAGCACCAATTACATTTCCAGTTTCAAACGGCGCGGTGAGCGTGACGTCACCGTGACGTCATCTACGTTTGCGCATAGGGTGCGTTCCGTTATGCACTGCAAGTACTGGCACTATGACGTCATGCAAGTGTACTGTTGACAGCGTTCCTTTTTAATTTTGTGCACTTTGAAGCTACTGCGAAATAGTAAAACGGAACGCACTACAGTACGCTTTCAGCAGACTTTTAACTAACCTTTTTCGCTAATAATCATCGAGTGAAAAATTGGTGAAATGGATAATACCATTATTGCATTAATTACATATAATTTAATCGAGAATATATATGATTCGAGTGAGTCATCAAGTGAAAGCGATTTGGAAATGGAATTAATAAATGAAATGAGACGAAAATTAAAATACCTAGAATAAAATGTAAAAATTACGTTAAAAATATTGTATCATTATATTCAGATATGGAATTTAAAAGTTAGTTCCATCGTACACATGGAGGTAGCCATCTTGATTACTGCGAGTGCTTTACCTTGCCGGTTGCAGTAATCGCAACAGGAAATAACGTCAAAATTAATGACGTCATATACTCATGATAGTACTTTCGCAGTGCACTGCTATCTATATCGGAACGCTATTGGTAGTACTGTCAGTACTTGCAGTGCATAACGGAACGCACCCATAGATTAAAAGCTATCTTTCTCTCTCGCACCCAACTTGGACACAGATTTTTACCATGGAGAACAATAGCAATTCCCCTTCCAGGTATATATGTTCTAAGATGACACCGTACAAGCCCGTTCTTTTCATCAGTGCAATCAAACTTAGTGCAACAGTTCACTGTACTGTCTGCCCCAGGTCTTGAGCAAGGGCAACCAGTGCAGTGCAGAGACAGCAACTTATGGACTAGAAGATAAACAGAGAACACAACCTAAAGTACGTAACAAAAAATTAAAGATGCGATAATTTATTTACTTACAAAGATATACTTGTGTGTATGTATACTCGCACATACACATTATATATATATATATATACTAATAGAGAGATATACATATGTATATCGTTGACTAATTAATTTTTTCTTGAAGCAAGTAGTAAGATTTTTTTCTTAAGGTGTTTGCGATTTAGAAATAACAGAGAAAATGGAAAAAGAATTTGTTGTAATATTAAAGGATCCAGCAGGAAATATTTTAGTTAATGAAAATGGCTATGTCACATGTACTACTGAGGGTGAGTATCAATTATCTAAACACATAAATATAAATTTAAAAACTTTAACATATATATGATATTCGTGATGAAAATTTTTCTCAGAATTTCTTATATGTGTGAATTCTGAAATATTCTAAGATTCGTACAAAAAACTGAGAAATTTTCTAAAGGTAAAATTTATACAAAAATTCAGAAAAATTCTGAAATGTATATAAAAGTTCTGAGAAAAATTTTTAACCGGAACATTTCAATTATTTAAATACATATTCAATACATATAATGCTAATATATAATGTTTAATGTTTATTTTTAAGGAGGTTTGCAATTGCAAATATTATACAAAGAAATTGATTTTTCTCATGATACACTCGAATTTATTATGGACAATAGAACAATATTTTTATATAAAATTACACGAAGTTACACACAATGCACCAAGTAATGGAAATATGTTATCTTCAGTAATACAAAATGAAAATGTTATACAAGAACATGACAAAGATAATACTTTTTTCTGGACCGATGCGAACACCAAATTATTTATAAGTATATACAAAGAAAAAATAGATCTTTTGATAAGCAGAAAAATCAAGACAAGAAAAGTATTATGGGAAAGAATACGTCAGGTCATGCAGTCACACGGATACAACGCTACAACCACGCAAATAGAAAACAAATACAAATCCCTTGAACGTTCATTTAAAAATATGGTAACAAACAATAAACAGACAGACAGAGGATGTCTTCTCTCGAGAGCGCGATGGTCACATGACCCGCTTTCGTCAATCCGATGAGTCGACGTCACGCTGACGATGTTTGCGCAACCGCAGAAGCGTCCGTGGATGTGCGCGCATATAAAAATGGGCGCGCTTGGTAAGGTATATCCTTAAGCGGGGAGCACACACTTTTGCATAGACGCATAAAGCGTAAGCATAAGAATCTTGATTGGTTTATAAACATATGCATAAGAAATTCAACCAATCGAATTTCCTATGTATATATGCTTATGCGCTTATGCAAAAGTGTGTGCTCCCCGCTTTAAGGCCATTGCACGTAAAAGTTTTAGTCGTAACCGTAGGATTCGACCAATCGCGTTGGTTGATTCTTACTGCTACGGTTTTCGATTATTTTTCTTGTATATAATGAATTATCAAAGATTTTTCTTTCTTATCTCGCAGGATTTGCAGACCAACAAATATACTTGATCACCAATAGTTATATACTAAGGTATCGTTTAAAGAGGGTAGTTGCTGTTATTACGGGACAAGCGGCAAGAGGGGAAAGTTTATGTCTGTTCGCGTTCTTTTGCACTTTCAGTCTTTTATCTTTTTCTCTCCAATGCCTAATATATATTTATCTCTTTTTTAAGTGTAGAAAGTGCAAACGTCAGTTTATACACGCGCGCTTGTAAAGCGGGGAGCACACACTTTTGCATAGGCGCATAAGCGTAAACATGAGAATCTTGATTGTTCTATAAACGTATGCATAAAAAATTTAACTAATTGAATTTCTTATGCATATGCTTATGCGCTTATGCAAGAGTATGTGCTCTCCGCTTAACTCCAAATAATTAAAATGTTCGGCATGTAAACGAGTTTTATCAAATAAATATGTGAAATACATTTAATTAGCTATTTTTTAAGGTTTTAAATCGTATTTTGTACAAATAAAATCCAAATACTATTTATTATTCACATTATTATTCACATTGAAATGTGACAACGTTACATTTCATTTTCAATAACTCCTAGTACAATAGTATCGATAGTGACAGATAACCCTGAAACGTCAGAACATGACCACACTGACCATTATAAATCTATTTTAGTTTTGATGTTCTCAAAAATGAAAAAGTGGAAGGGAAACCTGCAAATAGAAAAGCAGTATAATCGGCATTTAAAATATCAGGACCGACTAACACGCGACGTTGTTGTTTTTCGAAGCGTGCTCGATAGCTTTACGCAAAACAGCTACAACATGCTGTTTTATTTTTACAATTTCTTTGTTCAAAACGCGAATAGAATATTCCAGCATATTCTAGACAAGTCGATATTAAATTCATAACAAATGTTCACTTCGTTTTTCTATGTTTTTCAACGAAAAAAACACTCGTCATAAATCAACCTGTCACCAACAAAAAACTATCAAAATGTAAACAATTAACGGTATCGTAACCGTTCCGCCGAATAATTATACTGCAACAAGCATGCGCGGCTTATCACGGGCGCCTCGAATCACCAATGATTACAGCGATCGCCCGCTCGTGCATGCTTTCTTCGGGCCTTCTTTGCGTCAATTATCACAGCGGCCAATTATGAGTAATGCGCTCAGGTCACCTCGCGCAATATTCAAATTACTCGAAATTATTGGCGCTTTACGCGAGGGTGGGCTCCGTCCGGAAAACTATAAAGGGGGAGCTCACACCCGGCTTGACAGCCTTATCGCTTTTCCGCTGTGAATACCGCATATCGCAAATCCGCTTAATAGTTAAAACCGCAAATTTGTTGACGACCGCCGCTTATTCTTTTCTCTGATTTTGATTAAGTAATTCTGAAAATAATTAACGTCTGTAATAAGTTTGTGTAAGTGTATTTTGTCAATAAGTGTATATCAGAAAATTAAATTCGTTTTTTTTTTTATACAAGAGATGGCTTATCTTTGTATTGTGCGATCTCCTTTCACTCAGCGCGTTCGTGAACATTCTTGATAACTATGTAGACAAATTATTTCAGTTTTTGTCACGCCATTCGTAAATATGTAACAAATTATTTGCATCTATTTTTATTAAATTATTAGGTTACGTAACATTTTTACTGTCGGCCGTGTTTGCGTGCGTGCGCGCGTGCATGCGTGCGTGCGTGCGTATATAATATTAAAGGGATGCCGGAGATATGTTTTTACCGACCAAATGCAAATATTTAGTTTTTTTTAATAATTTTTTATTGACTATACTGATGAATAAATCCTTTTCGCGATTA